GACAATTTTCGTTTTTTTAAATGGAAACAACCACTGATTATTCGCTTATTAAATTCGTTATTTTTTTCTGATTACAAAAATATAGGGTTCGAAAGGTCTATTTCTTATTGTTTTAGAATAAAGCTAAAAATAAACTTTTTTTATAAAATTTCCATCTAGTGTCGTCGACGAAATTAAATTTACAGTTTCCTGTAAATTACGGTATTATAACTAAAAATTATTCTACTAAAAATTTATATAAAATTTACTTTATTTTCTAATATGTAACATTCTAATATGTTAAACTTTTAAAACGAGATCATGACATGTAAGCTACTTTTTTTCTAACTCTTATAGTTTCCGAGTTAGCCTATTCGGACATCGAATTTGAACCACCCTGTACAGTGCTTCCCGAAAGTAGCGGATAAATTCGTTAAAACAATTAAAAACGGTTTATAGAGAAACTCTGAGACGGGTCTAAGAATTTCAATTTTTTGGTATAGATTTTAAATGTTTTCCGCCATTTTTAAGCTAGTTATGACGTCATTGCTATTTTTTTCAAATAGCAATCCCCCATTTTTATTACGGAATATGAAAGAGGATTTTTTTCTGAATTTGGTACAGTCAAAATTAATATTAGTTGCATAAGAAAATTTTCGAGAAAAATTGGCTTAAAGTTTCATCATTTTCCATTCATTTGAGGTAGAAAAATATCAGTAGCCATGCGTAACCATAGCAACGAGTTGTTTTAGATATTTTATTTTAAGACAATGATTAATTGTTGATATCTGATCCTATGACATCCAGGATGTTATATTTTTTCTAAAATTTGCATAATTTTTCCCAGTAAACAAATTTGCGTTTCAGAAACATTTCTGATACATATTATTGAAACATGAAATGTTTCTTCGACATATTTCTGAAACATAGGTGAAACGTTTCTGAAATTGCTAATGTCCGGCCCTTTTTATGTTTCATTGAAACGTTTCTATTGAAATGTTTCTGCAACATACAGTTGACAATTACGGTACATTACTAAAATGTTTCAATAACGGTTTTGAATTATTTCTGAAATGTTTTAACATTCCTTAAGGAATGTTACGTAAGGTTAGTTCTGTTTACAAACATTAATTATAGCGTGAAGTTTTCTTTAGTAATTAGTAATGCCAATCATAGCGTGAAGTTTTCTTTTGAAATGCCAATTAAACCGTGAAGGAATGTTACGTAAGGTTAGTTTTGTTTACAAACATTAATTATAGCGTGAAGTTTTCTTTTGAAATTAGTAATGCCAATCATAGCGTGAAGTTTTCTTTTGAACTGTCAATTAAACCGTGAAGGAATGTTACCTTAGGTT